ATGGACACGTGATCCACAGTTGATTTGCAGTTGGTGGCCGCCAGGGTACGCGATGCGAACGTGTATGCCGAAAGTTCGTACTGGCCAGAAACAATTCATGATCAGCACACAACTGAAGGAGTCGCTCTCCATTGTCTGTGCGACGAGCATCGACTCAGACTCGATCGCTCAGGTGTGTCCCCGAGGAGCTCAGATGACTGACTTGGGCACTCAGATCGCCTGCAAGGATCACAATATCATTGCTTCTTGCTCGACAACTAAGCCCGGATATCTCCCGATGGAAAGTGTTATTTTCAGCACCAGAACTGCAGTCCGATGAGGCACGTGCCGACACGGGTACCGTTTTTTATGTCGAGAAATATTGAGTTTGATTGAGCTGAATAACCAGATGACAGAAAGGCGACTATTCACTGGGATCGAATCCAGCAAACCTCGTTCAACTCTGCGGCTGAGTTCAACTCACACAGTGTATTCCATTAGCCATCGCTTCTGGATCATCGGACACATGGATAGGGAAATTTGAAAGATATAAGCTCGTCCTTGACGTTCTGAGATGCATAACTACGCTTGGGTCTTATGTGCGTGCTTCAGAGAGATTACGTACGTCGATTTTAAGGAAGTATAAAGTCTCAGCGAGCATTGACTATTTGTAAATTTGAGTACGGACGTTAAAAGCTCCTATGTAGGAATGATATCGTGGATTCAGCAATGTGTTATTTGGTTTATTGTAAGTAGGCAGCGGGGTGCTTAAGGCTCATCGGTCGGACAACTGACAGTTGAATGACCCAGCAAAGGTTGCTCGTGTGTCGGGATTGGGTTGGGAAGGAAGATCCGTGGGCATAGTACTTCCCGGTCGCCCAGGCCGAGGAGCAAGTTTTGGTTGAGGTACCCCGCCTTGATCCCTAACTCAAAATTCTGACCCACAAGGTAGTGGGAGTATGTAGGGTTTTCTATGGGGATCCTGTCTGGAGCCGATGATTCAATATTCTGACCTGCTCGGATGCAGGGGTTTGGCCCAACCAGAGGGCACAGGGAGTGAGGCATTGCTTTCTCACTCCTGATGCAGCCGCGTGCAACAGGTGCCTTTTGAGCAGCACTGGACCTTCTGGATTTAAAAGCATTTCGACCTTATTGAATAATGCACCGGCTCTCACGGTCAACCGTTAAGTGATTGGCCTGTGTGGTTTTTGGAGCCGACCTTTCCCAACCCGTCCTTCCTCGGGTTGTCGTGCCATTGTGCGGACAGGAATACTATTTTTCTCCCCCTGAATCCTGCTGGCGTATTTGAGGTCAATAGTCACATCACCCTCAATGAGATTTAGTAGCTTTCTAAAAATCAAACCGAACTGACTCAAAGCTGTTGAAGTTGGGCCAACAAACTGACGGTGATGGTCATCATTGTATGACGGTTAAGCACCATCGTTTTCATAGGGTTATGCTGGCGATTATATGGAAATTAATACACTGTGAAAAAAGCTACGTTTGCAGCTCTCAAAGCCTGACTGAACTTTTCAGTTCGGTTGAAGGAATAAAGGAATACTAAATGTCACCAAGGGTAATGGCCCTTTTTGATACACTACCACCAATGAAGGGCTATGGTCGACCGATTTATTTATTTATTTATCCTTCAGCTGTAACACCTTTTTGGTGCTTAGCTGCCATGCCACCTGAAGGAAGCGCAAGGGCTGGGATACTGTCAGGTTGCCCACGCCCAGAGTCTTAGGTGAACTTGAGTGAAAAACGTAGTATAAGCAACAAGGCATCAGCGAGGGCCAAACACGTTGAACTTACTTCCCGCAGAACACATTTTGAAGCAATATATGAACAGGACTGGATTTTCATAGGTAGCAGATATATAGCACAATTTCGCTCCTCAAAATTGACGAGCCGCCAGACCCGGATGACTCACATCCCCAGCGTTGTCTTATTCTTACGCTTACTCATTCTGTTCATTTTTGTTCGTGATGGAGTGTGGGATGATGAAGCAACGTCAACTAGTCTAGCTATCCTACGATAAAAATTGATGGTCGGTAAATTACGATACCTGAGTAGCATACTTTGCATGTCATATGGACGTATACCTCTCAGGGCGCTTTTTGTCCAGCCTCATGAAGGGTGGTCAATTTACAAATTGATAATGAAGTATGAAAGCCCCGGCTAGTGAACTGAGCCATCTTTACAGCTGTCGCTCCCGGTGACGGGTGTTGCACGACAGGCCTCATCACCAAATAGTGACATTTCAAAAGGTGCTTTTTGCGAGAAACCCCCGAACTTCTCCGGATAGCAAGGCGCTGGTGACATCAGTATCACAGGGAAAATATTTGGTAATCTTGGAAACCATCCCGGCTGCAAGTATGGTGTCAGGCTTTCGGGACCGATCTCGGTAATCGCTGCATACAGTTCTGCGTCGATCATTAACTGTCTTTGCGGGTACAGTTCCCCAGCGCAGACATGTTACCTCGTGACCTTCCGTGGGCATTCGAACACCCAGGTTGATCACACAGGGACCACCTGTTGCTAGAGATCTTGCATTCAAAACTCACTTCTTTTCGATCTGTTTCTGGACTGGTTCACACTCTATGTCGTTCAAATATTGCGGCTCGTTCCCCTAAAAAAACCAAGGGGGAAAACATTCACTCGTATGACACTTCGCAAGATTCAACTCTCAAGAAGGTCTGTCAAAGCGTGTGTTGGGCCGACTTGTATGCCTATTTATTGCGTGAAGTGTGAAGAGACGGGTGTCTCTTCGTGTTTGATGCTTGTACGAACATGAATACAACTTGACCTGATGTGGTTGAAGTTTGTAAGCGTGGTGCGTGACGCAGGTGGTAGCCGCGTAAACAAAAATGGATGGGAAATTATATTGTACATGCCGGCTAGGGTTGCAAATAGGACAGGAATTGTTACGTGATTTGAGTGCTTGTGAGCGTGATCTAGTGAGTAACCGCTACAAATCTGACACTATTGTATGTATTGCAAAGCGGAGTCGCGAAGTTTCCCTTGATCGAGATAAGAAAGGTGACGCCATCAAGTTGACAATTTGATGCTGCCTGAGTTTTTCGGAAATGACTCCTGTGCCGCAGTCTCATGCATGGTAGAAAAATATAGCGGCTAAACACGCAAAAGTGGTCTAGCTATCTTACAAAGTGTTTGAAAATTGGGGCCGAAATGCTGTCGGTTAGTGAAGCCATCACCTCGGAAAATGACTCCGAAACTCACTCTCATAGTCTGATTTGGCAGAGCATTTTGAAGGACAACATAACTAGCACCGATTGCCTAGCACAAAGATCAAATCCTCAGCGGCTTTACAATGGGATGTGGACTTTGTGGTCCTAGAAAGAGAACAGACAGACTCCCTGAGAAGAAACGAGATGCCTGCACCGGGTTCTCTTGTCTTTTTTTGGTGATTTTCGGAATGGTTTGGATGGAAAAGAATCTCCAGAAGAGTAGCGGATGTCCATCCTCAGCTTCAACTGTGAACGAGATTTATCAGTGGGGCGGTCTTAGATTAGCAAGGAAACGTCTGTGAAAGGATCACGAGAAAGAGAAGTCCATCGCTTCCTTTTTCTGGTATCTGCTTACGCCCTAACGGAGTCACTCTAAATTTGCCAAGGACAGTTTCTCTGGCGCTATTGATGCTCTCTTACAACGGCGTCAAAGCTCAGACCACGTGGTGGTCACTGGTGACATGAACACTCAAGTAGTTGGACTTAGGACTGTTGAGGCCTAAGTAGATGATCGTTTTGGATTGGACACCACAACCCGACTCGACGCATCCCCCGACGCCACATGAATTCGTGTTAAAATGATGTCCAGTAAAGAAAAACAGTTGGACTACTGGAGAGAATACTAACAAAATACTAACAAAATTTCGGTTGGCCTTCCAGGCTATCAGTCTTTAACTAAAACACGGACTGTGAATGTGGAGCCCTTTTTCAGCGTCAGACGTGACCGAATGTATATCCTCACCCAAACGTCATGTTGCTCTTGCTCTGTACAAGAAATCTGGCGTCCCGAAACGTCGTCTCTGTGCCCTCTTTCAGGATAGCGTGAACTGTGTGGTCGAGAACGTGTGACTTTGTAGAAAGATGTGAAAAAAAAGTTTACGAAAAGTTTGGATGTCGTTTGATCCCCTTGGACCCGCTACCACTGACTGCAGACGTTGCAAAAAAATGGGGGCTTATCGATGTCAGTGACTGCCGTTGGTTTCTTTTCATAATCTGACTGAGCGTTTGAAGTTGTCGATAACTTGGAATGCTTGCAGTCGGCTAGCACTAGGTCCCTCTCTCATCCACTCTTCTCTTTTTCACTTTAAGTCGTAAGTATAATTGAATTAAATGTGTGTTTGCATGGCAGTGAAGTGTCAGTGTCAACACTGATGTTTTTGCCTCTGGGGGTGATGGCGAATTACAAGCACGGAGCGCCCACCAGCACCTGTTAAAAGTTGGGCGCCGTTCGGGTCGTGGGTGTTTTTGTAGCATATTCACTTCACAGGAATTCCTAGAGTGGAGTCATACGTATGAGACAAACCTTGTATAACTTTTTTGGAACCAAAATCAGGACCTAACCCAGCTTATTGAGTTGATCAAGCACATTCCCAAAACATTCACTTCTGCTCTTCACTCTTTCTATTCCAAAAGGCTCGGATGCCTGAAAATATGAGGCAAACCTTCTTTTGAGTTCATAACCAAAAAGTCGTTCGTCCGCACTACCTTTTTGCATTTCTTCCATTCAATTCATAATTTCAGCAGATGGCCACTTATCCGCTCATTTGTTCCTCTCCTGTGGGAATCATCAAATGTGAGAGCGAGTTATCCGGTTAACATAGTATCATAGGTTTCAATCTTAAGGACCAGACGCCTCTCACCGTAGCTTCATTACAAAACCAAAGTGTCACTTCCCTTTGTTGGCATTCGACAGACTCGGTAGTTACCAGTTATTATGTTATCATTGTGTTAGTACCTTGTGGGTACGAAGAAAGGTACACTCATCCAGCAGTTCTGCGCTCGAATTTCGCATTCTCTGATGGCTACTGGGGGGCGAAACTCTAATCTTGCGATATGGGATTTAGATAATCCGGCGCAGCCTGTATTTTTTGCAAAGAACGTCAGACAAACCACGTTGCAGTTGGAGGTTCCGATATGGATATCTGACATATGTTTTGTTCCAAATTACGACGGGCGCATTGTCCTGACCACTTCACGATATGGCGAGGTAGGTGATCATTTTCATTTCGCTTACACACGGAATTTTCTGTAAGATTTTTCCGCCAGGTTGACGTTTGTAGCTGTGTTTGAAGGTCTGGTTTAGTCTCCGATTTCCACCTAGCGTGGAGTGGGTTTTTAGACGGCTTAGTTCATGAGTTTCTTGAATGTTTCCTTCTCGGTAATGACTTCAAAGAAGCCAAGCAACTCTGGTCGATCCGGTGTGGTTGTAGTAGGAGGCGAAGAGGATTTAAACTTAGCGTGTGCTATGCACAGCGTCCGACTTTTTTGGTCTAGGACTTCAAACACGATAGACTAAATCCAAGTTCAAGCTCAGCACTATAAAAGGTATCAAACCATCCAATTGTGATGCATAAGCTGGTACGATGACCGGTATTTTACCAGGTTGCCCAAACCGAGACAGGTGCAACCGAAGATCATATCCCCGGTGACATGAGAACATGTCTAATACGAAGTTTCGATTATGGCAACCGGTTTTGTCAGTTAGACGAAACCGAAGTACTTCCTGTATGGCGAATGTGCAATACTCCTACGTCAAATTGTAAGCTGGGTATTATCTCGCACTTAGACAGGATATAGCGCCGCTCATC